TTAGGATATGTGAAATAAGATTTAATTTAAAAAAAAAAAAACAGGAATCTATCTTAGGATATGATGTTGCATTTGTAGAAGCAATGCAACCTGATCCTGTTATAATAAATATATCTTACATTTAGTGCCACCAGTACACTGTGGCACTACACAATAGTGCCTCACCCAGTCACGCAGCATGTCCACCTTTAAAGGACTAGTTGCAGAAAACAGAAAATGCTGGATTTCGGGACATTGGTAGAACAGCTGGACATGGCACAAATTAACCAGAAGAACCATGGGACATTCCTCCTGGAAGTCTGCATTTTCAAGCAGGAAGAGAAAGATTGTAAAACAGTTGTCATGTGTCGCAACACATAACAACTCATATTAAATCTGAGAACAAACAGAAAAGCAGAGCTGCAAAAGTAAAAATGCAGACATGAAGCTGTGTGTAAATAAAGGTATTGCTTAGTACCATCACATCCATTTTTCTGCTTAACCACATAGACAAGGGGTCAGCAACCTTCAGCCTTAGAGCCAGATGCAGCCCTTGGCCTAATTAGATGCAACTGGCAAGGAGAGGGGAAAGAGGGATGGCACAGAAGGGAGAGGGAGGAGAGTGCCAGAAAGAGAAAAAAGGGTGACAGCCAGGAGAGAGAAGGGGGTGGTCCCTTTTGGTCTCAGCACCACCAATTTTGGGAGTCTAACACCCCCCACTTTTGACTCCAGCCCTGCCTACTTTTGATTCCAATCCCAGTATTCAGCCTCCAAGGTACTGCAGCATTCAACTTTTTCTTTTTTTTAAGGCTGCCCACCCCTGATATAAGCAATGCAGGTTTCAAATTCAGAATTGCCTGGGCTCATTAAAACTGTAGCAATATATTTCAATGGGGATGGATTTCAATCTAGCCTGAGTAAATTTATTTTTGTGTATTCAAGAGAGGGTTGCATTCAAGCAGCAATTTGGTTTTCTCCCACTAAGTTAAAAAAATAATAATGGAAACTGTTAATTACAGAAATAGAAGAGATTTGAGAAGAAGACAGAAAAAAGCTCTCCTTGTTACACCATGGAGCCTGCTAATAGCTCCTTTAGTGACACCTAGTGCAGTCGGTGGAGATGAGGCACTATTAAACGCTGTAGCTGAGACACACTGCCTTGTTAATGTTACTTTGATTTCCAATAAAATGAGCTAACTCAATAGTGCTGAAAGGCAACCATTTCTTTTAGGCTCCAATTTGCATGCATATTCTAATTCACATTTGAATCTTTGAAAGAAAAAAAAGCAGCTAAGCTTATGGACCATACTGTCTGCTCAGTTCGTCACTTAACTGTTAGAACCACTGGGTCATTAATATCAATAATGAGAGAGAACTGCAATTAGGATCCAAATGAAATATGCCATGCCTCAGTTGATTTATTAGAATGTTTGTCAGTACAAAATGCCGTGGCACAGTAGACAAGGCTGCTGTGCTTGGATTGCTGCCTTCTCTCTAAATAGGAATCAAGAAAAATATTCACAGGGGCGATCATTCCATTACTGAGTGGGAATTCAGAATATAAAGCTGAACTTTCTTTTTTAAAAAAAGCAGCAGTGCCTTGCTAACTCATATTAATGTTGGGAGGCGTATTACCAATTATTGAGTGTTGTCAATTAGCGAGTAATTATTTTCTTGCTGCTGATCTGACCCTTTCACTCTTTCCATTGAACACCTCCCATTGGCTCCTCTTTGCACGGTTAATCAAATCTAAACTACTTGCCATTATTTTCAAGGGCTGGTGGTACTCAATCTCTGACTTACATTTCAGATGGTTTCCCTAATCCCATTTCCTGAAGCAGACTCTCTGCCAGGGAGGACGGACTCACCCATCCATTTAGTTAGAAATTATAGCTAGTGGGTGGGGGAGTCAAAATGGCTGGCAGGAACAAATTTTATACCCAAGGTAATTGGAACAAACTACTGAGGGAAGTGGTGTGTTCTTCCCTGCATGCAGCTTTCATATCAAGGTCCACCCCCACCCCCAGCAGATATGACACATCAGTCAGCCAAATCATTTTAAAGTCACATCCATTTCAGAAAGGAAGAGATAAACACATGCTTATCCAATCCAGTCTACTGTATGGTAGTGGAATATCTGATGCAAGATCTATTTATTTATTCATCTTTATTACATTTTGCGTGGACAGGCGGAAACCCCCCGAACCCCAGGCAACCCCCAGGCAGAATAATGACACCCGACAATGTTTCCGAGCACAATTCAAAGTGCTGGTGCTGATATTTAAAGTCCTAAATGGCCTCGGTCCAGTATACCTGAAGGAGCGTCTCCACCCCCATCGTTCTGCCCGGACGCTGAGGTCCAGCTCCGAGGGCCTTCTGGCGGTTCCCTCGCTACGAGAAGCCAAGTTACAGGGAACCAGGCAGAGGGCCTTCTCGGTAGTGGCACCCGCCCTGTGGAACGCCCTCCCACCAGATGTCAAAGAGAAAAACAACTACCAAACTTTTAGAAGACATCTGAAGGCAGCCCTGTTTAGGGAAGCTTTTAATGTTTAATAGATTATTGCATTTTAATGTTTTGTTGGAAGCCACCCAGAGTGGCTGGGGAAACCCAGCCAGATGGGTGGGGTATAAATAAATTATTATTATTATTATTATTATTATTATTATTATTATTATTATTATATTAAAACTGGCCACAACTTTATTAAACATTCAGATGTAGGAAGACCTTGGCTTAGGCATTGGGCATTTATCCCTCCCAGTCCCCAGCCGGGGATCTGGGGAACATCAGGGTTATCCAAAGTGTGTGGGGATTGGGCTAACTCTGAAGAACGTCTGTTCAAGCAGAGAGCCCGCCCCCCATTTCGACGCGTCGTAGGGGAGAACACTGACAACCCATTGGCATATGGCCAATGCCTCCCCTCAAAATGCCCCTTTAACGGGGAACCCTGGGATCACCGCCACAGGGAGGGCGTGGGTCACCGCTTCATGCCCCCCCCAATTGAAGGAAGATAAACTAAAGGATTCTGCCCAAGGCCTAAAAACCTCCAAAGTTGTGACATTTTGCTATGGGGAAGGCAAAACCTGCCAATGCAGGGAAATTCCTTCCTTGCCTCTCAACGGCATCCATCAAAGATCGCAGCAGTGCCCGCATAGCTGTAAAGAAGAAGGTTAAACTGCAAAAGAAGGCATGAACTGAGGGAGGGCAGGGTGGGGGAAGTTCTGGAGCCGACTGAGGACTAACAGGTAAGTTACACCCCCTATTGTAAGTGTGGGGCAGTCCTGACTCTACTGATCTTAGTCTAACAACCTACTGGCTGTGAGTGCTGAAGGCCACTCCCTGCAAGGCCCTTTCCATCTGGCCTGGGGGGCGGGCCCCAGGCTCACCCTGCCCTACTTTAGTGACTGCTTTTAAATGTTTTAAAACAGTTTTAATTTGTGGTGTTTTAGATTTTGGTTTATGGTTTGGTTTTTGTTCTGTTGGAGTGGGATTAACATTTAGTTGGGGCTGGGGATTAGTTTAATTTTTAATATAACTGAATTGCTTTTTGTTTTGCTTTTAATTAGTTTCTGTTGCTTTCTATAGTTTGTATTTGGCTTTTAAGGGGAGAGGGTCAGGGCTGCCTGGGAGTGGGCCCCAGCCAACAGAATGGCTGGGGCAGGTTCCACGGGGGGGATGCACTGGGACACCCGATCTCAGTGATCACAGGTAGGAGGAGGAGTTATGCTATGACCAGACCATGTCATTACCAAGGAGGCAGGTTTAGTCGTTGTTTGAAGACTATCCCTGCCTCCAAGTCTGGTCTGGACCGGATGGCTACTGGAATCAACAAGGGAGACCCACATGACCTGAAGTTGCTCCTGTGCAATGCCAGGTCAATGCTTCATAAGACCACTGCCATTCATGACTTGATTGTGGATGGAGGACTTGACCTGGCATGTGTGACAGAGACTTGGTTGGATGAAGCAGATGGGCCTGTCCTTGCCACTGCTTGCCCACCAGGTTTCTCGTATGCACAGCAACCCAGGTCATATGGGTGGGGAGGGGGTGTTGCAGTGATTTTTAGGAAGTCATTAGCTTACACCGGGTGTCCTATTGGGAAGATCCAGTTTTCTGAGTGCATGTTCTGGAAGTTGGGCAATAGGGGCAGTACAGGATTCCTTGTGGTGTACCGACCTCCCCACTGCACCAAGGATTCCCTGCCCGAGCTGCTTCAGGTCATGGCAGATGTTCTCCTGGAGACACCTAGTTTGGTTGTCCTAGGGGATTTTAACATCCCAAAAATCTTTTTCTTGCATCATTATATAACGGACAGTGCAAGATATAATGCATAAGGTCCTCTACTTCAGAACATCCCCTAATGCAAACACGTTCGTTTTTTGGTATGCCTCTATGTCTCCCATCTCTATAAGCAGAGCTTATTGTATTTAGTCGTAGCTCTGTAAAAGTTTTTCGAAGCTGTGCAAAAGTCAATTCATTAAAATAAGATATGTGTTCATTGACCTCTCCTTCAGAAGGACTCACGGAAATTTTGGCATCTGGTTGCCCAAGGCACCAATGGGCTGGGCTACTCGTTAGAAGCATCTGTCCAAGGAAAGGATTGGGTGACATATTTTACAGAAATATATGGCCCCTGTCCTGACCTACCCCCACAAGTTTACTATACTCAGTTATCAGAACTGCCAGAATGGCCAGACGTCACGCCCAATCAGATTAAGAGGCTAATCGCAAGCCAACTAGCTAATAAAGCTCCAGGAGAAGACATGATCCCAATGGAGATCTATAAGATAAGACCTGATTTCTGGTCACCCATTTTTGCAAAATTGTTTTCATACATTAACAGCTCAGGTCATATACCTGAAGGGTGGGAGTTGAGTATAATTGCCCCAATATATAAAAAGGGCGATAAGAAAAACCCTGCCAATTTTAGACCCATTAGTTTGTTAGATGTAGCCTCCAAACTATATGCCAGGCTCCTTCTTGGGAGACTAGAAGAATGGGCAGATACAAATAAGGTGATATCTGAAGTCCAGGCAGGTTTCCAAAGAGGGAAATCCACATTGGACCACTGCTTTGTGCTGAACTTTCTGCTATGTAAATACATCCATAATTTGAAGCAAGAATTATATGTTGCTTTTATCGATCTAAAGTCAGCTTTTGATACGGTCCCAAGACACGCATTGTGGCAAAATTGGATTTTAACATCCATGCCAACACAAGGGGCCGCTTGGGAGTTTGTGGAAAGCATGGCCTCCACGGGGCTGTCCCTGAATAAGTTTGGCCCAACTCATAGTTGCGGACATGCCTTAGACCTGGTGTTCACCTCTATTGACGTGGGTGATCTGACACTAATTAAAAGCGAAACCAAAGAAGTGCCATGGTCAGATCACTTCCTGGTGCAACTGGACTTCTCCGCAACCCTTCCCCTCTGCAGGGAGGTGGGACTGATTCAGATGGTCCACCCCTGCCACTTAATGGATCCAAATGGTTTCCAGAGAGTGGTAGGGGATGTTTTATCCCATGTTGATGGCCTTTCAGCTGATTCCTTGGTGGACCACTGGAATGCGGAGTTAACCAGGGCTATCAACTATCCACCACCCCACCAACTGCTATGTCATATTCGAAACTGCTTTCTCAATTCTCTTCCAGAGGGGTTTGCCCAACTTGGAGCTGGTGTTTGCAAAATACAAGTCCAATTATCCCTTGGGAACTAGTTATACAGTTCCCATGGACCCTGGCCATGGATCTCTCAAGTTTTTGACAAGGCTGGGCAAAGAGGGGCTTACTCTGCCTATTTGCTGGTGATGAAGAAAGAGGTAATCACATATGGTTTTGGTAACAAGCTATCTTTCTCTGATCTCTGGGTTCTGCACCTTTCTCTAAGGTAGATACAAGTCTGGGAACAAAGGTTTATGGAGGGATGCCTGGTCTACCTGGACTCCGATCACACCTACAAGGAGTCGGGCATTGCAGTGGCAGCAGTATAGCAACTGTTAACTCATTTAAGGTCAGAGCTTTATTGGCCAATTGCCACAGTTAATTAACCTCAATCTCCATGATGAATTTTCATAGCTAAACCTAGCTAATTCCTCTCTTTTTTAAAAAATTGGGGTTATTTTATAATTAAAAAAGTAAATTTCTCAATACAGAAAATAACATCACTAGGGATTCCCCTTTATATGTTTGTTTTCTATTCAAGGGTAAGACTAGGCATATCAATGAAGGTGAAAGTTTATGGAAAGTTGTGTGTATATTGTCCATTGTTTGTGTTGCAGTGTTAAGGTATTATTAACCTTTGTTCATCTCCAGAGAGATGTTGCGTATTCAGTCAGAGGACAGGGACAGCTGTTATTGGAGACAGGTTCACCTGCTTAATAATTTCTGCTTGTCATGCAGCTGTAAAAGGCTCAAGTGATATTGGGATGCTTTAGAGAAGGTTTTTGCTTTAAAGGTGGTCTTGAGGATAATTTTAGTGGAGAAGAGGGAAAACTTGGTGAACAGGTAAAATACAGGAGAACTTCAGAACTGACTAAGAGGGGAGAAATAAAAAATGTAATTTCATTACTTTTGACTTTAATTTGTTGTTATTCCTTGTAATCTGCATAACAATCTAAATCCGAACTAGAGTTATACATAAATGGAGATTTTACATTACAAACTTTGAATTTGAGCATAGTGGGGGTTTTTTAAAATAGATGTTCTTTAAATGTGTTGGCAGTTTCATATCTGTTTATTTATTGTTGTCAAGTGTAAATTACCAAATGCCCTAAACTCCCACTTACTAAATATTGTCAGAGTTCCAATAATGCTTGTCAAATACTAAATCCATTCAATGTCAGCTATAAAATGCCATACTGCATGTCAGCTATCAATTTCTGTCAGTTAGAGCTGCAAACTTAAATCATTTTAAGCAGTAGATTAATTATCTAAAACTTTAGCCTCTAATCCTACACACATTTATCAGGGAATCGCTGTTGAATTAAAGGGGATTTGCTTCTGAGTAGACATGGATGGAATTTCACTCTTAGTTGATTAATCAGGTGGGCCCGATGAAGGCCAATTTTAATTGAAAGGGCCAACAGCTTGAAGTGTGCTTGTTGTTTTTTTGGCATTATTTTGACTGTGGTATTAATTTGACTGCGGTATGTTATTGTAACAGAGAATGGGAGACAAAATATTTAAAATGATGGTACCTTCTGACAATGCAAAACTGTGCAAAGAAATATATGGTTTACTGGTAGTAATCTTTGTGTATTAAATAGCAAATTATCTCACTCTGGTGAATATACTGGGGTTATGGTAATAGGAATTTTTATTTAAGAGATTAATCAGAGGAAATATTCTATACATAACTGACAATTTTACAGATATTCAAGACTGGATTCCAACATCAAGAATCATTGGATTTCAAATACTGATGCCAAAATAGAAGATCGACTAATCAGACACATTAGTAAATCTTATCTTTCATGCCTTCTTAGGTACCCACAATAGTCCATCATGTGCAAATCCCCATGTATCATTTTTTTCATAAGACAGCCAACAAATAATAATAAAAAAGAAACAATACCATCAGCTACTTTTGCAATACATTCCAAACAGAGAACAATTTTCAAACATTTCATCTAGACCCAATCCTTTGTAACCTATCAGTTAATTTGGCTGATTTAACAGGCAACACTGTTAAGGAATTATTGGGGTTGAAACCAAATCAGGGATAACGGTCCATAACATATATGTCATTCCTCTACTGCAAGGTATGCAATGTGAAGAAAAAGTCGTCAGCTATGTTCTACATGAATGTCATGGTTTGCCTCTGGCTTCTTGCCATTTACCCTTAGTGATTTTCTACTCGGAAAGGTCAAAATATCTCAGGTGCTATTCTATGGCCACTGGATAATTCATATGGAGAGGGTGTTTTTATGCTTCGTCTTGTATATTCAGTGTTTATATTTAAAATCAACATTGCATAATGGCCTGCATCACTCGCTGTGTTAGAAGAACCATCAACGGTGGCCAGACAGATCTTAGCATTCTCTTCATGCAACCACCAGGAATGTTTTGCTGCATATCAAGTTATATTCATTTTTAAAAGTGGTAACCTAGGCTTTGTTTTAAAATCAATTTGGTGTATTTTAAGCATTTCTGCTCGGGACAGCCTCTGAGACATGTTGTAAAGGAGTAGAACAATTCAGTCAATAGTTACTTTAGCATCAGGAATATTGCAATGTCCTTAAAAAACTCAAAGCAGAGGCGCATGACAGAATTTTCCACAGAACTTCCATACACTATTATTGTTACTATTATTTGTTGTAATAATACATGATAAAATTTCAATATAAATTGAAAAAAATTAAAGGACATGAATTGGCTGAAAGTGCTCATACTGCAATGACATATAAAGGACAAATCCTACACCACTTCTGCGTGCTATTTTGGGGGTTCTCCTGTCCCCTCAGAGTAGATTTTGGGGGGACAGGAGAGGAGAGCAGAGAAATCACCATTGCACTAGCAGGACTCATTGTGCTGGCTTCCACTAAAGCAACTCTTAAAATGAATAATGCCCATTATTTGGCTATATTTTATCACTTTGTTATCTAAAAATGGTATATTATGTTTTGTAATAATAATAGCAACTAATACCTAGTAAAGCACTGACTTAATATGAAAACAATTTATCACAAAGCTTAGCTCTATCAGCCATACTACAGTTGTGGGTAATCTTTAATAGGTAGGTATTAACAGATATTAATTCTAAATTAATTAGGTACTAATGGATACTAATGAAGGGGTTTACATGCAATCTCAAGCCCCTTCCAGGAAAAGCAACATTGAAATTTATGGATATCAAAATCATAGTAAAATCCTCTTCCCTAGTCATATTTTCTTCTAACTTTGGTAGAAAAATGTTATGAATGGAAAATCTCTGATATGTATTTGCTATCACAATAAATTATTGTGTTATTGCTATTGCTATGGTATTTATATGCTGTCTTTTTCCCTGACAGGGACTCAAGGCAGCTTACAGATAAAATAAATAGAACTAAAAAGGAGAACAACAATGCCATTAATGATTACTTTGACATTTGAGGGCTTGTAAGTTTCAATAATGTATTGCTTATTTCCATTTAAAGCCATTTTATATAAAATCTGCAGGCAACATTACTGAGCAAAGGTGGTTGTTTTTGGTTGGTTGGTTGGTTTGCTTGTTTTTTTTTAAAAAGCTGAACAATGTTTGAAATCATAAACTGGGCAGGCGTAAGGTCTGATATGGGTAACAAATGTCTTCAACCTGGCTTTGGAATCAAGATTGGTAGGAAGGAAAATAAGGGAGAATTGGTGTACGGCCAAACCTCGCCCTGAATGTGGATGGCTTCTGAATATTTCAAGTATGCGATTAATTCTCTTAAAGACTAAGTCTTGAAGATGGGGGGGGGGCGTGTTTTCCTTTGTTCTTCCTAGTCGATAGCAGCTACACACCGTCTGTTAATGTGGGCCGCATGATGTTAACCAAGCAGAGAATTCTATTCTGGGGCTAAATCGAAAAATTGTAGCCATAGAAGGCCTTTTTGATCAGAGTTAGCAAAACACTGTGCCTTCTCCATTCCCCCACAGTCCCTCCCTTCCATTCTTTCTCAGAGACTCTGCCAAGCATGTCAGATCATTCATGTTAAATTATTCTTGATGGCATTGAGATGTGCAGTACTGTCATCCAAAGACTGGCTTGTGCAGCTGTCACATCCGTTTTCTTCCCGAATCTTGTGCAAGAACCCAGCCATGTTCCAAGCTAGGCTTATCTGCTAATTTATCACGAAAACCCAAACAGACAGGCCTGACAAAGCAAAACAAAAAGAGTCAGAATCAAGGGTTGGAGAGGGAAGGATATTAACCCAAGCTTCCCATCGACAAATGTCTCAGTGCTGTCTAGTGACCTATTGGTGAACCTGTCCACTGAAATAATTTGCCCAGCTTTAGGTTCTTCCTGTGAACAGCCCCAGCCCCATTGGTATAATCTCCATTATTGCATGCATATTAGTGTCATGACCCCCTGGCCTCAGGCAGCCTGTAATGAGTCGGCTCAGGAAGAAGCTGCTTTGGGAACTCCCAGACCCTCCAAGCTCATTGAAACCAGTCAGACGGGGAATAGCCTACACAGCTCCTGAAACAGAAGGCCTCTCTTTGACCCTGAGTGAAATGAGCTGGACCTCGCTAACCCAGAGTCTGCAGGCTCTTTTCATCTCAGTGCACAAACGCGCTTGGGTCCTTCCTTCCCCTGTTAGCCTCTGCTTGATTTGGCATGCAGGAGCCACATGGTAGCATCAAAGTTCAAGGCTCCAAGTCAAGAGGTTGCCTCTTTAAGACCCTGTCAGCTGAAGTACTGGCTGGGCAGGCCTATATCAAGATTTATGGAAAGGCTGCAGAACTCCAACTCCCTTCACCCTGGACCATTAACTATGCTGGCCAGAGCTGATGGGAATTGGAGTCCAGCAACATACAGAGGCCAATTTGTTTTCTGTTCTATAGTCTGGCCACCCTCTGATACAATGCCTGTGTGTTGCCAGCGCAGCTCCTATGGGCACACAGACACTGGGAAGGGCCCTCCCTGGTGCCTACAGGGTCTCAATCTCTGGATGATGAAATCAGGCTTAAAAAAATAGAATGACCACTATAATTGAGCACCTGGGGGGGAGGACAAGTGAGTGTGGTTGCATGTGTGCATAATTGCAGTGTGCATGGTGCCCACAACAGTTTTTCCAGTTTCCAGATGGTCAATCCTTCTGAAGAGCTGACCCAGGTGCTGAAGAGGATTTCTCTGGTTTCACTGCTAGACTATCATGGGCTATACAACAGCAGCAAGAATACTTATTGCAAAGCATTGGAAGACACAAGATCTACCCACACTGGAGGAATGGCAGATGAAAATGATGGACTACATGGAATTGGCGGAAATGACTGGCAGAATCCGAGACCAGGGAGAAGAGTCGGTGGAAGAAGATTGGAAGAAATTTAAAGACTATTTACAGAAATATTGTAAAATTAATGAATGTTAGAATGATGACGGATTGAAGTTAAGTGGTTTCTAGCTGTAATGGTATAAAAGAATATGGAAAAAATGGTTTTTAATATGTAAAAATTTAATGTTATAATATATCAAGATTAAAGATCAGGATTAAAAAGGAGGGAAAGGAATTGCTGGACTAACAAATTGAATTGGAATACAAAAGAGGGAGGTATGAGGAGGTCCGGGAAATAAGTAAATGTAAGAGAAGTGATGAAAAGATGGAATTGTTTTTAACTGTTTTTTCTTTTTTGTATTTTGTATTTTTCCTTTTTATTGTTAATTTTCCTATTAAGGTAATCTTTTTCTTTTGAAATCTTAATAAATATCATTTTTTAAAAAATAGACTGTCATGGGCTAATTACTACCTCGCTCAGCACTGCACAGGTACAGATACCGCCTAAAACATGGGTGGCTAACCTTTTTTTGGCCTGAGGGTTGCCAATGCCCTTAGCCAATATGCCAGGTGTGTGTATGGCAAAAAGTAGGTGTGGTCACCCCATACTTCCTCTCTCACGCTCTTGTACAGGCACAGGGCGCGCACACATATGCGGTTGCACTGCCTCCTCAGCTGATTGGTGCAGATCACCTGAGGAAGAGGGTTATTGCCCTATCTGCTCATTAAATGATCAGTCTCATGAATAGGAAGGAGCAATTTGCATGCTCGTTACAGCACTAGACTCCACTCCTCCCAGTGTTGTGTCTTTCCTTTTTCCCCACCACTGGGGAACCTTTGGAGAGCCAGAAAAATGCTTGCAGTGAAGCAGATCAGGCCCCTGAACTAGGTTCGTGTGTGTGTGTTAGAACAAGGCAATTCTGCTTTGCCACACTTTTGGTACTTTTTAATTTATGTATACAAGGAAATATGTTGACAATTGGCATTTGTTTCCAGCTGTTTTCCACTCTCTACATCATACTAAAAACAACCAAAAGTGAACCAGTCATTGATGCCTGCTCAGAAGTAATCCCATTGTTCTCAAAATGTGCATAGAACTGCAGCCTAACCCTTGTAATAAAGAGATAGTATTCATTTCAAGTTAATTAATCCCCTGCAATGCAGGACTTACTTGGATATCACCCATCTCTTTGTCTTTTTGGAAGAAATACATAAATACAAGCATACAAATGGATAGATATGCACACACACACAAACATTAAAAGCTTTATAGCTCTTTGTGTAAATCCTTTCCTGAATCAGTGCTAACTCTTTTCCCTCCGACTTGCCACTCAGTCCAATCCGCACACAGATGGAACGGAATCATTTCCAGGTTTTCCCTTGCTCCCTTCCCCTCCGCCCATCCTTTGACCGGCAGGCAAATGAAGCCATTCAAATATTTGCCTATCTTGTCATCTGTTCTCATCAGACCTTGCAATTCCTGTCATGCCCCACATGTCATTTTAAAGCATAACGTCATTAATACCTAGAGTGCACTAATGGATGCTTCACACATGAACGCATTAATGAAATGTGTTATTGTTTTC